ATCTTCAGAGTGCAGGAGCACAGACAGGAGCAGTTCAATGCCGATCACAGGTGCTGGCGAAACATTAGGAAACAAAACTTCAAGACCATGGCCACACAGCCCGGAAGACCCACACCAGCCATAGCTGGCTGTTATTCAAATCCAGCCAATAGGGCTCATTCTGTGTTGTGATAGTAGTGACCAATATCTTTTGGTGCTGGATTTTAGCGGCGGATTAAGTAGAGTGAAAACTTCTGTGTAGATATAAATCTGCCAAATCAAAATGTCCAATTATTTATGCAAGTTGGGTAACAGTAACAGATATTCCATTAAGTTCTGTGGAGCTATAATGTCTGATATAAAATGAAACTTATTTCAAAAATATGGGAACTTTAAAATAAGAGTTCCACTGAGTCTTACAATCTGCTGTCCTGAGCATCCGTGGATTCTTCAGCCACGATGACATCCTCCTTTACCACCTCAGTTGCATATCTTAGAGTCTCAGCGGTCACCAGGTTCTCATATAGCTGTTGGTTTAGCCCTTGGTCTCCCTCACTGGCAGCCCTGAGGGCCTCTCTCTTTGCCATGTCAGCTTCCACAGGGCAAGAAACTTTCATACAGTTCTTCACTAAATCTTGCACCTCTGCACTGATAGATTTCATCTTGTCTTCATACTCGGCAAATGCCTCCTGCTGGAGCTGCAGAAAGACAGAAAAAGTTCACAGCGGAGAAACCTGTCTGTTTGTGGCATGTTTACAAATTCAACTATGTGTCTTTTAACAAAGCCAAATTAAAAGAAAAAAAATACTCCTCCTCTCTGAGGACAAGATCCCTGTGGAAATTACCCCTTTTCCATCCTTCTGCTGTAATTATGGGTGTGGGGAGAAAATAATTCCCACTGGGGCCTATGAGAAAACTTCCCCCCTCTTGCTGACATGGAGGGGGATGAAAGGGTCAAACTTCTTTTCCTCATGCACTGTACAGTAGTCTCTAAGAAAATTGCACTCCAGTGAAAAAGAAAAGCTTCACCAAGACCTAAGTAGTTTGTTTATTCATGCTCTCTCTTAGTGGCTCCGAACAAATAGGATTTCATGAATGAATCTTCAGGGAGGTGGATGCAACTGTATGGCGCAAATGCTGCTTAATAAGTAGAGGACTGGAGGGCAGGGATTAGGCTACCTCAGCCTTCCCCAAACTATCACCCTCCACATATTAAGTCTTCTGCTTTGGCCATGCTGACTGGGCTGTGCTGGAAGTTGCAATTCCAACACTTCTGAAGGGCAGTAAGTTGGGAATCCATTGGGGTTATTCCAGACCTCCTGCTTCACCACGAACCCTCAAAGACCATTGGTTGTCAATTGGCCATGAGATACCTGGCTTTCCTTTTCCTTGATCTTTCCTAGGCAGGTTGACTGCTTTGCTTCCAGGACTTGTTGGTGCCTTGACTGTTTCTCATTCATCTTGAAGCAGGAGAAAGATTTATGTTAGAAGGAATAACCTTGCATACAATTATATAAATGGAACAATATCATTCTATAGGTACAACAATACCATGAAGTCTGCAGTGTACTTTAGCTCCCAATCCATCCTTGTCCTCTCCAAGCCCCAAATCCCATGATGGTTAAGTACCAGACATATCACAACTGCTTTTTTGGCTACTATGTATTATTAGAATGCTTTGCCTATTACCTAATCCTCAGTGTTAAAACCAATGACTATGTTGATTTAGACTCTGAGTCATAGGTGATAAGGAGGTACCATATGCTTCTGTCCCCTTTTTTCTTAGTTTCTTAACACTTCGATCCCGATTTTATTTTTCTCAGCATAAAACATTATGAGTAGTCACCCTTAGACCAGTGTTTCTCAACCTTGGCCGCTTTAAGCTGTGTGGACATGCTGGCTGGGGAATTCTGGGAGTTGAAGTCCACACAGCTTAAAGCAGCCAAGGTTGAGAAACACTGCCCTAGACAGCTGACCTGAGGTCAGTTTGTCTCATGTGCAAATGATCATTTGGAATGTCTTAAGGCAGTGAGAAGCATTGTGTGACTGCCTGACCAAGGCAAGGGGAGGAGGCAAATGATCACCTGCTTCTCTTCCAACTTGAAAATCATAATGACTTTCCTCATATACTTGCTCCTCTGCAATTATTCAGTCAGGAGGCTCAGATAACTCTGTCAATTAGGTTAAGTTGTGAAAATAACATCAATGAATTAAAATTTGCCCTATGAAGATTATCAGGCAATGACCTTAATATTTACTAGTTGATCAACTGGAAAAGTTGATCAGCTGGAAAAGTACTAAAATAAATGTACTTATTTATTCTGTTTTTTGTTTGTTCATGTTATGACTTTAATCTACTTTTAATTTGTTTATATGGATTTTTATTCTATTTATAATGAATAATTGCACTTGTCCACCATTGTACGTCACCCTGGACCCCAGATGCATAAACGTCTAAAATTTGAAAACGTCAGCATGTTTTAACATCCACACAAATCACAGGAAAAAGATGAAAATAGGGATGAAACATCACAGAGCCATAGGTACTGAGGCCACTGCAATGTATGGTTTGAAACTACTCCAGGCATCATACAAAGTACTGCAGTGGGAATATAGCTTTGGAAATATTCCAAAAGAGAGAAGTGAAATACAGATGATTTTCTAAGTGAGGGTCTTAGACCCTATGCTCCTCTCCAGCATAGTTATGAATGAAGAGGGCAAGAATAAGTCCGTCCTTTGTTCTAGGGGACTGTGGGAGGGAGCCCCCTTGGATTAGGACCCTACATCTAGATTAGGAGCATTTGTAAATCACTGAGCCCAGCATTTGCACAAGTCAGTGGGACAGGCCTAATAACTGTTCTTTTAGAGGCGACTACAGAAAGGATCCAGAAAGATACTTACCCGCTTGACTGCTTTTACAACTTCCTGAATATGTGCATTATTGATTTCTCTTTTTAACCTTTAGGAAAAAGAAATAAAAAGCCTATGTATCAGGAGTTAAAATTTACAGTTTAGATTGTTTTTAAGGCATCAGCTAGACAAAATGGTTTCATGTCATATGTAATCACTTAAAACAGAAAGAATTTCCATATAGAAAAAATGAACACTTTTTGTCTGCAAAAGGCACTATGTTAGAAAGAACCATCCTACGAACTCTAGTCTAGGGCTAGCTAAATTATACTAATCGCTTGAGCACTTACAGGCTACGGGTTCATCCACGCACCCTTCTTGCCTGGTGCCGAGATGGGCTCCTTACTGTTTGTTGAGGACATGTCCTCACAACAAAGCCCTCTGACTGAAATACTGGTCATTAGCAGACTGACTGAAGTGAAAAAGCAGCATATTGGCAAGCCAAGGGAAAGAAAAGCAGATATTTTGAATCTGCCGGACACAGCTACTGTAATTTACAGAGACTGTTGCTGAATATGATGAAAATACACAACAGGAAGCTTTGGGCTTGTGTTTCTTCCCATCTCCTTTCCTCCATCTCATCAAATGATCCAAATTCAAGTCATAGGTTATCAAGTTTGCTTATGTTAAAACAAACCATAAGTAACATTATCCATACTGAGGATTTAGAAGTGCTCAACTAGGATTGATGGAATATGGAAGCCATTTTCATTCATAACTATGCTGGAGAGGAGATGGGCAGGCATGACTAACATCTTGATTTTTTTTACACGTACATCTCCTCACCCTCACAGACATCCCTGCTACTTGTCATGCACAACAAATTACAGTTAACCAAAACTAGAAATAAATGCTTCCAGTCATCTTGCAGTTCTGCGGCAGGAGAAGGAGGAAAGAGAGAGTAGGTCAGCCTGACATCTGCTGTAGATCATATTAACTATGTATTAAGGTGATGCCCAGACCTCCCTACCTTTCTCAAGTTTTAAATTCTCAAGTGAGGAGAATGGCTTCTCTCTCGTGGTAGAAAGATCTGCAAAAGCAGCCTTGACTCCAGATCAGGAGCGTGCAAACCGTTTTTCAGGTGGAGAGTCAAACTTGGTGCTGTGTGGTATGCTGGACGTCTTGCTCCAGAAAGTGGGCAAGACCAGATTAAAATTTGGTTTAAGTATTAAATGCAGTTCACATGACAACCCCTTTGCATTTATTTAATAATTGCCCTTTTCATTAAAAATCACTAATTCAGCAGAAATGAGCTACATTTGGGGGTGGAGTCAAAAATACCTTTCCTGAGCACCCTTATCAGCATTCTTAACCACGGCTTGGATTTTGTCCAGTCTCTTCGCCTCTAGTTTCTTTTTCATTTCTTTAGTGTCACTGTAGAGGAAGACAATCAGCTCAAGTTTACAGATTTAACAATATATCTTGATTAAGATTAAATGCCCTCTCCTTTTCTACTCATGTCACAGACGGTTTCAAGGCTATGAAGCACAGATTAACCCTCCCCCCCAATCTAAACCTCTTTGTTTACTAGACTGAAAATGTTTGTTGCTCAAGACACGTTCCTAGTGGCATGAGAGGAAAGCCATATGCATTATACTGATCCCACCTGACGATTGTCTTAGGCTTCACATTTTCAGCTTCCTCTGAGTAGTGATTGATTAGTTTACTGTTGGCATGCTGGTATAGCCCAACCAGAGAAGACCTTTACACTACTGTGCTGATTCAGTATGGAGCAACCAGTGAATTCATGGGGTTTACTTGAAATCATTGCATCCATTGCACAATTCAATTTCAGCACTGATAATTGGATTTCTGACTGTTTTTAAAGAAGCCAGCCTCCAGATATTCAGAGGAACTACTTCCCCCCACAAATGCCTAGGCTGGAGCAAGTCCCCTGTGTATAATATTTTAGCTTAGAAAAAGAAACAACTCCTTCCCATCATTCTAGAACTCAGAATCATCCAATAAAGGTGAGTATGGGGAGATTCCAGACTAATAAAAATATGTGATCCTATTATCTATCTATCTATCTATCTATCTATCTATCTATCTATCTATCTACCATCATCATCATCATCATCATCTATCTCAACAGCGTTTATTCATGACAGCTATGTATTATCTTAAGAAAGCAAGATTTATGCCTATCAATATCATTTGCAGAGGAATGAATAGGAAGGTATTCTTGTATTGGTATGCTGATGGTGGGCTTCTTAGGGAAGGACAGAAGGCTGTACTAGAGAAATGAGCTAGCAGGGCTCTTATGGATTCAGTTCCCATTCCTTGGGTGTTCAGTTTCCCATTCACCCACTCAAATTCCTTACTCTGAATAAAGAAGTTCTTCTAATAACTTAGAACTTTCTGAATGTCATTTTTTTTTCCAGATAGCCATTCAGAGCAAAATAAAGATAAATTGTCATACCAATTTATGAACTAAGAGATATGTTGATAAATGGAGTTAAGTCAACTCATTATTTGGCCCTGTATGGTTAGGTGGACAGTTGCCACTCAGAGGCTCTGTATGTTGCTGATATGTGATCTGCTTTGCCCATTAATGCAATAATCTCTGATTTTCTGCATGCAACAAGTTGGGCAGCATTTTGGATTCATCAGTGGGTCTGCCCTTCCCTGAGCCTCCCCAATCAATGCCATGTACAGCAGGACAAACTTAAGCTTTATTCCAAGTTTGGGGGACAAACCAGAGAAAAGCTTTTGTAGAAAACAGTGACAATGGACAAACAAAATAAGGTTGACAGAAGAAAAGCTAGAAGAAATGAATAGAAAAACGCTACACACACAAACATTAATTTTGTTATTTACGTATTGTCGAAGGCTTTCACGGCCGGCATATGATGGCTGGTGTGGGTCTTCCGGGCTGTGTGGCCGTGGTCTTGAAGTTTTGTTTCC